CCAAATCCATACAATAATTAACTATATATCCACCAACTAATTAAAAAAAAATCATAAAATACGTTAACTAACTCATGTGCTGAGCACAATGTTCGATATTTAATTAGCTAGTGATTATTTTTACAATTGCGAAGGTTATTTGACATAATTGTTATCTAGCTGGCTAGCAGCTTTGCCCAAAACTTATTAATAAATTTATATATATAGATAATATAAAATGAAGTTTTCTTTATTGGAAGTTGGTAAGTTGTTTTATTAATCCCAAAACTAATTATTGCTAACCAAAAAATTATTTTTAAGCACATGTTTTTCCATGCTCTGGTTAATGAATTTGCTATGCTGACACTATTGAGATTTTTTTTGCACTATTATCAATTAATTATGTGGTATTTTTCAATAATAAATAGTAATATTTTTTTTTTTAAATAATAAGTAGTAGTTCTACTTGGACTTATTATTGAGCACGGGTCATTTCCCTTTTCGCCAAACAGCAAATGGTGCAGTCCAACTTATCTTTGCTTGTGCCTTCACAAATGCCCTCACATGGTGTTTTTTATTGCTCCTCATTTATCAAAGTTACCATTGATTTTTTTTTTTTTCGAACATTTTATTTGAATTTAGTGTAAGCATAAATTACGGATCTTAAATAAATAATTTTGTGTACACGAAATACTCATTTGATTGGGAATACGACATAATTGCGGTCTTGATGACCACGCAAGAATTCAATAATTAATGAAATATATTGCGTACCTTAATTGGAGGAGAAATAATTAATTTATATAGAAATAACTTTAGATGTGACACTTCCATCAAATATCTAAATTAATGACTTAAATTTAATCGACAATTAAATAAAGATTTAACTCAATAAAATTAGTAATTGTGGGCCAATAGAAGAGTAATTTGAGCGATTTCTCCACAAAATAATTCAATAAGTTTGGAGTCCTGCGAGCTGTCTCCTATTCTTCAAAGAGTGAGATTACTTATAGTCAATTCAAATACTATATCTTTTCAACAAATACATATACTTTTAAATTTATATGTCATAGTTTAAAATTTATACCAACAAAAGTATAATGTAATATGCATTTTATTCAAAACCTATAATAGACAACCTGCATAACAACTGGACAGCGTTGAACAAAAATCTATGTTCCTTAAATTGAGATTCATATTCCATTAATTGCGATCAACCTTGTTCAATTGGGACTTAAACATCCTAATTTTTGTTGTTGTTTTTTTTGGGTAAATATTTGATCTTTAATCCAAGAACTAGTTGAAACTGGTTAATTAGATGCATAATTTTTAAAAGTCTT